TTCTTCCTAGTACACTTTCTTTTCCAGGGGATGGCATTTTGTAGATCTTTCTTGCCTTTAGTCACAAATGCTGCAGACTGTGAGCTACAAAGTGACTTTTTACACCTTTTAATGGTGTTGCACTTCATTCTGTTTCATGTAAGTTCTGAAGGGAACTTACTGGCTTTTGGGCTTGTCTTTTGTTCTGAGTCCCAAGAAGTCAGTTTTGCTGTGTTTACATCACACTAGGTAAACCAGGAATAGATAACAAGCAGCTTAATGGAGAATACCTCACAAATCCCTAGCTGAAGTGCCCTACACTAAACCAGAAGTGATTACACAGTGTTGCTTATTAAAAATTATTCTACATGTGCCTTCATTTGCTTTTAGTAGTTTGACACACTGTTATAATAATAATATGGCAATGATATGTTACTTTCTGTTCTTAATATATCCCTTCAGATACCGACGAATGCTCCTTCCAGAATATATGTGTGTTTGGTACCTGTAATAACCTACCAGGAATGTTTCATTGTATCTGTGATGATGGCTATGAACTAGATCGAACTGGAGGAAACTGCACAGGTACATCGCTTCTTTTCAGAAATGTCTCAGCACAAAGGATGATTTCCTAAATGTGCAGCTGTGCAAAGGTTATTCTTAAATGCCTGCTGAATTATCAGTAGTTCTGTTCTTCAATTTCATCTAAATTTCATTTGCATTTGAAATGTTCTTCCTCATTTGATCTTAAAAAGTAAAATAACTTCTCTTCTCTGTCCACTGAGGAGATTTATGAGTGTAAACTTTCCTATTTTAGATATTGATGAGTGTGCTGATCCCATCAATTGTGTGAATGGTCTTTGCATAAATACCCCTGGAAGATACGAATGTAACTGCCCTCCAGACTTCCAGCTGAATCCTACTGGAGTGGGTTGTGTGGGTAAGTAAAAGCTACTTGAAGTATTACTTTAGAAACCACAGCCAACATAACTGTTTTCATGCAAATCAGGGCAGCAAGATGGGAAAATACTTCTTCATACAACATGTCCTGTTAGGTAGTTTTCCAGTGATGGAGCTAAAATAGTTGACTGATTAATGTGTTTATGGTTCCTTCAAATTTGTTGAAACATGTTTATCTGCATTTCCCTTCTTCTGACAGCCAACACTTTCTTATTTAAAAAATTGAATTTTTTAGCCCTAGATTTGGTTTGGGCTGATTAATGTGTTTCACTTAACTCTAAAATGAATTTTAACTGGTTGTGGTACCTATTTGGCTGGAGACAAAGTAAAATACACATTTCACTGGTTTCACTGTAGCTAACCTAATTCTCTCTGGTTTACACAGACATAGAGTGAATTGTTTTTACTTTTTCCCTTTCCTATGTTATGTCCTGTGCTTTGAGTGTATGCAGTGCAGTATAGTAATGTTTTGAGGTAGAGGGTACTTGAAAGAGAGGATAAGGTTCAGCCATAGTCACCAAATCTGTGTGTGATCCTGAGGAAGCCTGCTAACTTTATATTTGGAAAACAGTGTTTTAATTTTATTACCTTGGGAAGACTCAGGTTCTCCCAAGTTGTTAGCTAGAACTCTATGCATTTTCAAAATCTTTGCAATAATACCACAGTGTGGCGGCAAATCAATAGATTCTAAGCAAATACTCTCTAACAAAATACAGATTTCCTTCAGAAAAGGTTTTGTTGCTTATCTTTTCCACGTTTCTCCATTTTCTGCCTATGAATATTCTTCTGTGGCTTCTCTGGATACTAGAAACAAGTCCTGTTTGAGACCTTTAGCTGTCCAGATCAATTTATTCTCAAACTTTAAGCTTAGATTTTTTAAAATGAAGTGATTTTATATACTCTATTCTCATTGAAACTTGTTTCTGTCTCCCATAGAATATTCTGACAATTTCTGCCTTAATACATTTATTCTGCAGTTGCAGTCTGGCTTAAGCCTTTAACTTTGTCTCATCTGTGGATTCAGATGAAGCTGTGAAATCCTGCTTTTTGGCTTCTCCTTTTCAGGATTTAACTGCTAAGATCCTCACCAACCGATTACTGTGTATGATCTGCCCTGCAAGCCCTGAATTATGACCAGAGAATTTAAGTGATCTCTGAAGGTTATAGAATGAATTATCCTACTGCTAACTGAGTGGTGTTTTGATAAAAAACGGGACTTGAATTTGGCACATTAATATGGGACCAGTTGTGCCAATGATGTTCTTGGCAGGGTCCCATGTTTCCTCAATGAAGCCTCCACCATGGAAAGGAGCCTTCTCAAGGGTAAATCTAGCAACTCTAGAGTTCCAAATGGGAGAATAATTGCTTCCTCTAAAAGAAAAAAGTTAACTAGGAAAGTGGTAGAAAAAATATTTGACCCTTACCTTACCTTATTTCCATTCTGAGTAAATACTAGGGCTGTTCCTCTACCTGGTACAAAGAGTCTTTTCCTCTCCCTTGTGTGAGAAGCATTTTTAGTTTCCAAATGAGTGTACAGAAAAGAGATTCCCACAACTTACCCCCTGGAGAAACATGGGCTCTTTGGTTAGGTTTCTGTTTCGAGTTCAGTTTCAAACAGAACTGGAATCCACTTACCTGTCTGTGGGTGGAGCTGCAAACCTCGGGTGTATATGTCTATCTGTCTGCAGCATGAGTCTGTAACAAAGTGCAAAAATCACTCGGTGAACATTCAGCTTTTGTTTTTGACAGGGGCAAGCAAAGCCTCTGCTTCCCATGAAATATCCGAGTAAGGTAACAGAAATAAAACCCTAATCCATGAATGAAATGGCAGTTTAGTGCCTGTTTTTTTAGAAGCCTTTGAAGAAATGGAGCACATTGTGCAACTAGAAATGTATTAGTTATACTATTTTATATGATTATAGGCATTGTTAAGTTTTGAATCTTTTTTCTTTCACCACCAGTGCTCATTTGTAAAATTTCCAGAGGGTTAAATGATTTTGCATGGTATGTTGAAACAGAAAATTGCCATTCCAAGGCAGCTATGCTAGTTCTGGGTCTAGGTTTCGTGTGCTTTGGGTATGTCTGCTTTACTGACTTAGGCAGTCCAAAAAGTGGAGGACTGAGGTTAAGTTTGCTGGTGATCCTTTAAAGTCTCAGGACTGCAGTACCAACATCCTGCTTCACTTGCAATGACATTTTTGTCACTGGCACATGGTAAAACATGAGCCAGTTTTCACTACAAGATTGTAGTCATCTGGGTGAAAAGACAGACACAGAGGCTAGTAGACCTCAACAGGAAAAAGGAAGTTTCTTACTTCTAGAAAGCACAAGTTACGCTAAATATTATTCCAGTAACTTTTTGTCAAAGGACAGCAGCTTCTGGTTCCCTTCAACAGCACTATCTCTTGCATGCCTGAGCAAAAAAAAGGTGGAGGAATTTCAATTCCATTACTTTTCTGGAGAAACAGAAATATCCTCGGCAAAGAGGAACATGGTGCTGTGTCTGGACAGTTTGTGTAAAGAGTAAACCAAACCCTAAAATTCCTGATGGACTTGTTGTGAATATTCTGCTAGAGAATCACAGACTCTGCCTTTATTCCAAGGTCTCTTGTCTCCAATTGTTCTTAACAGGCCTGAGGTCTTGGGCTGAAGGCATCTGCCTCAAGGAGTCATAGCCTCGTCATGACCAGAATATGGCAAATAAATACTGACAGCAAACTCAAGCAAGGTTTCCGCTATTTTCTGGAGTGAAAGACTGGGAAGGGTATATGGGCTACATTAGAGTATGGTGTGACTTTGGAAGACATGCAAACATTTTAGTCTCATCTCTGGGTACTTAAGAAAATGAACCTATTTTCCCTGCTGTCTCTCTTGACATCAGTAACTCTCAGTGTCTAGAACTGTTTTGAGCTTGTCATGACTTCACAAACACAATGTTACCTGAATTCCATCCTTCTAGACATGAAATGTTAAATTAA